TCTACGGCTATGTCATGCGCAAGTATGCCCCCAATATCCCCAACGCTCTCCTCTGGATGTCCCCATGCCTCTGCGCATATGTTATCTGCACGGCACATGTTCTGAAACCTCCAGTCCCGTTTATTCCTGATCATGTATGGACTCCGCACAACTACCCTGCCCTGCAACAATCATTCCGTCCCGCTTCCCCCCTCCCCGTCTCTCTGTACTCCGCCTTGATTGCAGGGGAGCGCGATGGTACTCGATGGAGATGGCGGGCATCACGACATACACGGGCGCCAAGCTCATTCAGAGTGCGCGCGAGCTGGTGGAGCGCGTGGGCAAACCCCTGGAGCTCGACACAGACGGCATCTGGTGCTGCCTCCCCGCCTCCTTCCCCCAGGACTTCTGCTTCACTCCCAGGTGCATGGGAGGGGCACGCCCGGGTGGTGGGACTAGAGGGGGGAGGAGGAGAGGGGGAGGGAGCTTTTGTGGTGCATTGTGTGTGGCAGTTTAAGAGCATGGGTGGATGGGGGGACTGGGACATGTATGCAAGGGTGACTGTGTGTGAGGGTGGGGTAGGGGTGTTGGTTTAGCCTGGGTCGTATCTTCTCTTTCCCCACACCCCATTCCCACTGCTCTCTTGCTCTCGCACACACATATCCACTGCATGCTTATCCTTCCCAGTGTCCTTGTTTCTTCTCCTTCATTTTCCTCTGCCCCTCTGCCCCTCTGCCCCTCTGCCCCTCTGCCCCTCTGTCCCTTGTCCCCCTGTCCCTCCATCTCTCCGCCTTGTGGCATGGGCAGCAAGCCGGGCGGCAAGAAGCTGACGATATCGTACCCATGTGTGATGCTGAACGCGGATGTGAAGAAGCATAACACCAACGACCAGTACCAGGTGGGGATGCTGCTGCATGCGGTGGAGAGTAGCACCACACTGGGTCTGCACTCTTGAATGTGCACATACCATGCCATGTACATGCATGGCATACGCGTGCATGCCACGCCCACCTTTGCGATGTTAACCCAATCATCCCATGCGCTGTCCGCACAGACATTGTCAAAGCGCTCTCACCACACCTGTCACTTTATCGCCTAACCCCGCTCTGCCCCACCCCAACCTCTCCCCCACACACCGTCTCTCTTCCTCGCTCCTGTGTGGGGCAGACGCTGGTGGATCCGGAGAGTCGGCGCTATGAGGTGGCGAGTGAATGCTCCATTGCATTCGAGGTGGATGGGCCCTACAAGGTGCGTGGACCACTTTGCACACATGCTCGCACAGGCACCTGCACATGCACACACACACACGGGCACACATGCACACACACACACGGGCACACATGCACACATACGTACATGCATAAGCACCTGCAAACGCATCCTCTTCCCCCCACTCCCCCATCCCCCCTCCCCCTCCCATACAGGCGATGATTCTCCCAGCGTCCAAGGAGGAGGGAGTGCTTCTGAAGAAGCGCTACGCCGTGTTCAACCTGGACGGCTCTCTGGCGGAGCTCAAGGGCTTTGAGCTCAAGCACACGCACCCCTTCCCCTCCCCCCTCTCACCCTCCCCCTCCCATACAGGCGATGATTCTCCCTGCATCCAAGGAGGAGGGCGTGCTGCTGAAGAAGCGCTACGCCGTCTTCAACCTGGACGGGTCTCTGGCGGAGCTCAAGGGCTTTGAGCTCAAGCGGCGAGGCGAGCTGAAGCTGATCAAGGTGTTCCAGTCCGAGGTCTTTGAGTGCTTCCTCGCTGGCTCGTCGCTGCCCGAGTGCTACGCTGCTGTGGCCGCCGTCGCCAACAACTGGCTCGACATGCTCGATGTACTGCTGTGGGCTGAGCTAGTGGGTGCGCGGTGGGGGTTTGCAGGGATTGAACTTCTGAGTCGACTCAAAAGTCGCTACGCTGCGGTGGCAGCCGTCGCCAACAACTGGCTTGACATGCTCGATGTACTGCTGTGGGCTGGTTTGGGCTGCTGGATGGGGGGTGGGGGTTTGCAGGGATCGGACGATGGGTTGGGTCTAGGAGTGGGGAAGTAGGTTTTTGGTAGGGGTTTTAAGTTGAGGGGTTTGGTGAATTGGATGTGTCATGCCAAGAGACAATTCCGTCCTTCTCTAAGCGACCCGTTTCTTCCATCAAAACTTTTCCCCTTCCATACCTCCCTCCCACGTTCACCCAAGTCTCATACGTCCAGTCGCACCCCTTGTCCTTCTCGCTCTATCCTTGTGACCCCAGAGTCGTGGGGCAGGGCTGGAGGAGGCGGAGCTTCTAGAGCACATCAGCGAGTCGTGCACCATGAGCAAGGCCCTGGAGGAGTATGGCGGGCGCAAGTCCACTGCTGCTACCACCGCCATGCGCCTCGCGGACTTCCTGGGCGAGGCCATGATCAAGGACAAGGGGCTCAGCTGCAAGTACATCGTTGCTAAGTACCCTGCTGTGAGTACTGCCTGCTGCCTGTGGGGCCGTGGGAAAAAAGGGGAGAGGGCGGGGAAGGGGAGGAGAGAGAGGGGAAATGGGAAGGTAGAGCGTGTCTGGTTGTGGAATGCTTGTTGGATGCATGTGGTTTGTTCCATGTTCAGTGTTCCTTGTATATCCCCCCCCTGCGTTTTTCCACTCTCCCCTTCCCGCGGTGACCCCTGCTCTCTGGTTCCACTTATATTCCGCCATACGCCTGTGCCCCAGTATCCCGTCTGCATGTCTCACCCGAGTTCCCTGCTCCCCTGCCTGCTTCCTCCACCCAGACATCTCCTGTGAGCGAGAGGGCCATTCCTGTGGCAATCTTCAATGCCGAGCCAGGTGAGACACCCATTCCCTGCTGCTGCTTCTGCTGTCGCCTCCATCCCCACCGCCGCTGCTGCCTGTGCATCAGTTGATTGTCCACCACTCCTCTTGTTATTCTGCAATGCCCTGATTTCACAATGCTCTCGCAGTTGCAGTGCCCTTTTTTTGCAACTCACACGACCAATATCGTTTCAACAGCCCTCTCACCCGCGTGCCTGTCCCATATGCATTGCCATTTCCCATCCGCACTCCCGCACCTCCCCTCGCGTGCCTCCCCGTGGGCCAGAGGTGATGCGGGTGTACCTGCGCAAGTGGTGCAAGGAGGCGCACGGCCCGTTGGACGTGCGGGGCATAGTGGACTGGGACTACTACCGCCAGCGCCTCTCCTCCGCCATCCAGAAGATCATCACCATCCCCGCCGCCATGCAGAAGGTGCCATGCAAGCCCATGGGTGCCTTGGATTGGAACTCACCATACACTCGTGCTGCCAGGCACAAGGTGTGCGTGGCTTGTTCGTCTTCTCACCCGTCTCCACTCTTGCTCTGATTTCCCCTCCCCCTTCCCTCCCTCCTCGCTCCCCTCCTCCCTTCCCCCTTCCCTCCCCCCTTTCATTCTCCCTCCCCCGTTTTTTCCCCCACACACGTGCTCGCCCATGCAAAACGGTGCAGGTGAAGAATCCAGTGCCGCGTGTGGCGCACCCTGACTGGCTGTCCAGGCGTGTGCGGCAGCAGGAGGACCGCTGGCAGCAGCGCTCCCTGCGCGGCTTCTTCTCCGCCTCCCTCGCCCCCGCTGCTGCTGATGCCACCGCTGCCGCTGCAGATGGTGCTGATACCGCTGCTGCTGCTGACGTAGGCGGTGGTGGGGATGCCAATGCTAACGCATCTACTGGCCAAGATCCGGGTAGAGAAGTGGCACATGGTGCACCAGTTGACTTGGAGGATATTGGCGGGCGAGGGGGGAGAGGGAGGGAGGGCGGCACGCGTGCAGTGGTGAGGAGGCAGGTCCAGGCAAGGCTGGTGGTTCCGGAACGAGAGGGGGAGAGAGAAGGGGAGGAGGAGGAGAGGGAGAGGGTGGAGAGGAGGGGCAGGGAGGCGAGGGAGCAGAGTCCTGACCCTGGAGAGGACTATGGCAAGTGGTTGCAGCATAAGAAGAGGAAGTGGCGGCGGGCGTTGGAAGAGAGGAAGAGGCGCTGGTAGGGGTGATGTGTGGTTACAGGAGGTGTGAGGGCTGTGTGCTGCTATGTACGTGCTCTACCTTACAAAGCAGCGCACCTCACTCTTGTACCTTCGTGTTTGAGCACCAAGGCAGGGAACTACCAGACGGGATTCACAATCTTTTCCTGCCACACCCTCTGTCACTGCAGGCAGGGTGAAGGGGAGGGGGGTGGCGGCGAAGGCATGGGGAGTGGAGCAGCGGGGACGCGCAGGAGGCTGGGAGTGAGTGGCATGCTGCGCCATGCAGACGATGCTCTCACGCGCTCGCACTGGCAGGTGGGTGGGCAGGGGGCTGAGAAGGAGAGGTGGACTGGCTGGTTGCAATGGGGATGCGGGGCAGTGGGGCGGGGCAATGGCGGACGAGGGACCTCAGGTGGTGCAGGGAATTCTGATTGTGTGCTTGCCTGCCTGCCAGCAATGCAGCACCAGGCAAACCAATCACTGTGTTCCACATACTCTCACCGGCCTCCTCCATCTCCCATCATTGAGCCTCCCAGCCGCTCATCTCCAACTCCTCTCCTCACCAACCCTTCTCTGTGCCCTCGTCCTGCAGATTATCCAAGTGACGCCCACAGCAACGCCGGGCGAGTTCTCCCTGTGGGTGGTCGTGGGAGCAGCGGGCGTGAGGCGAGTGGTGGTGAGGGTGCCGCGTGTGTTCTACCTGAACACGCGTGCGGCGGTGAAGCAGGAGGAGGCACCAGGGAAGCTGGTGTCCCGCACTCTGCCACACGGCCACCCCCTGCTCAACCTGCTCAAGGTGTGCTATGATGCCAGGAAAATGAACGAACGTCTGTGGGCAAAAGAGGAGATTGCTGATGTCATGCATTTGAGTTGCTGTTGCTCCGTCCCTACCTTTGCCCCTCCCGCCCTCCTGCCACCCTGCCACCCTGTCGCTCTGCCATCCTGCCTCTGCTCCCCCACTCGATCTCCATCCTCCACCCATGTTGATCCCCTCTCCACATCCCACCTACCTACTCTCCCCATCGGCCCTGCCTTCCCTTCCCTTGTGCCGCACCCACCCCCTGCAGCTGACAGTGCAGGAGAGCCAGTTCCAGGCGTCCAGGAGGCAGCTCGCTGCGCATCTGGGTGACCCCGACGTTGAGGTGCGTGGGGAAAGAGGTGGGCTGTGAAGATGGGCAATGGGTTGAGGAGGGTGAGGGGGGATGAGGGGAGAGGGAGGAGTTGAGGGGAAGGAGAGTGTGAGGGATGAGAAAGTTGGGACTGCAGTGTGTGTGGTTGAGTGAGTGTGGAGTCTCCGACCCATTGGCCCGGCCCGTCCATCTTTCCCTGTCACCCCACCCCCTCCATGTGCATGTTGCTCTCCTCGCATGCCCTCACACCGTGTGTGCTCTGCTCTCTCCTGCGGTCCATGCTGCTGCGTGTGCGTAACCCCTATGTGCCATGGCGTGACCAGGGAGTGTACGAGGCACAGGTGCCGCTGCTCACACACCTGCTGCTCTCCCTCGGCACTGTCTGCTCCGTGGACTCCCGCGCTCGCTCCAAAGCTACTGCCGCCGCCAAGACCACCAACACCACCAGCGGTGGCAACAGCAGCAGTGGAGCATGGGACATGGGGCATCTATCCATGCGCACCACCACCGAGTGCCCCTACCTGCCCTCCATGCTCTCCTCCCGCTCCTTCCTCTACCTCTACCACTGGTACTGCCTCTTTCTCATTCCCACACATCGTTTTCATTGTCTCTCCACCCCTGGATTCCAGTTCTCCTCCCTCCCATTTTTCTTTCCTCCTCCCTGACCCCGTTTCCCCTTCCTTCCTCTTTTCCTCCCTCCTCTCTCCCGTTCCCCGCTGTGCTTCCTCGCCGTGCCTCACACATCCCTGTGCCTTACACATGCATGACGGCCACACAACCCCCCCGTCCCCCCTTCCCCCTGCAGTGGCACGGACACGAGAGCAGTGTACGCGCTGTTCATGCCCTCGCTCCCCGCGCTGCTGCTCCTCTTCGTCTCCCCCGTGCCCACACGTGACGTCACCCCTGCTCACCTGCACCGCCACTTCCTCGCAGCTGCTGCTGCAGCACATGCTGCCAGCCCAGACGTGCCTGCCCCACCTGCTGCTGGCTCCGTGCCTGTCAAGGTCAGCTCTCTCTCTCTCTCTCTCTCTCTCTCTCTCCCTCTCTCTCTCTCTCTCTCTCTCTCTCTCTCTCTCTCTCTCTCTCTCTCTCTCTCTCTCTCTCTCAAATGGTCCTTTGTATTAATTCAGCAGGGGGTACAGACATGCAATTTGACTCGTGGTTCCCTTATACCTTCCGACCCATCAACCCATCCCTCTGACCCTCCCCCCCCCCACCCTTAGTGCCCCTCTAACCCTCCAGAGGTGGAGGATGTCCCCTAGGTGCAGCGGCCATGGGTCCGCTGCCATCTGGGGGTGCGCTGCCTCAATCCCCGCCCTGGCCTTGGTGTGCAGGGCATTCGTCGGGGAGCGCTGGAGGGCCACTGACCAGCGCTGGCTGAAGTGGCAGGCCATCTTCTTGGCCGATTTGGCCAAGGGGTTGGCCCTGAACCTGTTCCTAGCCGCTGCTGTGGCCAGCAGCTTAAGGAACGCTGTCGTGGGGGGCGCGTTTGCCCCGTATGTCTCGACGGCCAGGGCGCAGAACACCACGTGTTCGGTGTGCCTGTAGTAGTCCCTCTCCTTCCGCCTCTGTGCCTCCCTTGTAGCCCAGCCTGGGGGTTTGCGGGCTGTGGGGTCCCGGTTCTGTAGCACAGGGTCGGTGATAGTTGTGTCTGTGATCCAGGTCTCTCCACTGTCTGGGTCACGCACGATCACATCGGCCTTCTTCGGGTCATCCGGTGGTGAGTACATTGCATTCTCCAAGTATACCACCAGCTGCGCCTCCCTCGCCATTTTTGCCACGGCAAAGGTCAGCTGGTTGTGTGTGCGCGTTCTGTCCGGGCCTGTGCTGCAGCGGAGTAGGTGGTTGGGTAGGCTGCAGTCAGCCACGAGCTCTCCACACTCGCACACGGTAGGTACGTTCTGTCGGATGCCCATGCGGAAGGCTAGGGCTGTTCGGAATTGCCCTGGTGAGAAACAGAGGTCTGGGGTCAGGGGTAGGGCTTGCAGCCATGCTCCCGCTCCCTCGCCTCTCAGGCTGACGAGGCGGAGCGTGTGGCCGATCTCGGGGGCTGACCTGATTGAGCGTGATGTTATAGTCACAATAGGCTCCAATGTGCCTAAAACGAAAGATAGAGTGCACAGCCGGATTTCTGCACAGCGGCTTCAAACCTTCATAGCGTTCTGGTCACAACTTCAAATGACCTGATTCAACTTGGATCTGGAGTGTCTGAACGTCGCCTACAATAGGCAATTTAGATCGCACAATTTCACCAAGTATTGACGACACAGTGTCGGTTTGAACGAACGGCACTATGGCAGCCACTATAGTCTTAGAACACAAAATAGGAAGAGATATGAAGAGTTACGAGTTGGGAATGACTCCCAGCTCCTACAAACCCCGAGAGGCGAGGTACAGTGTTGTGGAACAGTGCCACACTGTCCCCAACCACGAAGGGTCTCGAAACTACCATTCACTAGGGCCTACACCAAGTGAAATGTTACACTACACAAAGTAATGTAACTATCTTCAATATCTTGAGGTGTACCCTTTTGGCGAGCTTCGAAATCACTTGAGGCTTGACACTATGGCTCGGGCTCTTCATCACAAACTCATCCTTGAGTTCTTGATGAGTCTGCTGCACACACCTGCGACACACCGAACGTTCGACACAGGACAAAATAGAAACCGCGCACGACAAAAATAAAAACCGCGCGCGAGACACAAACGACCGCGTAACACGCGTCTAGCGATAACTCGCTATTGACTCGACACACACACTCGACATCATGACTCAACATTCACACACAATTATAAGCATGAAATATATATTATCCCATGCCTTCATACCATTCCATACACTCACACATGCACGCACACGGACAACAAGCCGAGTGCAAACCGTAGGGTTGCACCAACACGTGATTCCTCTGTCAGGGTGTCGGCCTTTGCTGCGTGCACTTCCTGAGAGAGGGCCCGCTGCAGCTGGTCTTGGGACGGGGTTTCTTGCTCCTCACGGAGGTATTGCAGCGCCAGCGACGGCAGACGTCCCTCCATGTCTTGGATGGTGACTGAGTGTGCCGCAGACGGTTGCAGGGCGTTGCTGTTGCTCCCTAGCGCCGCGGTTGCTGGCAGGTCGAGTGAGCGGAGGAGGCGTAATGCCTCTGTCGTTGAGGCCAGGTAGGCTGGTGCTGCTTCTGTTGTGGAATCCGTGAGGCCGAGTCCACCTAGGGCCACTGGGAGGGTTGCTTGGCGGATGAGAAAATTGAACTCGGCTTCGCGGCGGGGTGGTTGGATGCTGGCGGCAGTCAGGGCGGTGTTGAGCAGTTTGGCGCACCACGCGTGCCATTCCGAGAGGGGAAGGACATCCGCTGGGGTGGTGCGCAGCAAGTAGCCGATTCTGCGGCTGATGCAGCGGGATAGGAGCAGGAGGGCATGCTGTGGATGGATGGATGCTAGGGAGCCCAGGGGTGCCGCCGCTTCTGTCAGAGTACTGCGGACCAGGTCAGCGCAGAAGCGCTGTGACCCCACGGGACTTCCCAACACCCGTACCCCCTCGTGGGTGAGTGGGAGGCCCTCGGGGAGCTCGTCACCCTCAAGCGGCGTCGTGGACCACGCCGACGATTTTCTGAGGTTGCAGTGAGGCCATCCTGGGCGAGCAGCGGCATCAGTAGCTTAAGCGCGCCAAGCGTTGCTGTCGCCGGTCCGACCATGGTGATGTCATCTGCGTATGCTAGGATCGTGACTTCTGGGTGCTCTGTTGCTGTGCGTCTGAGGTGCTGCTGGATTGATGCCGCGAACAGCAGGGGTCCGAGGGGGTCCCCTTGCCTCACCCCCCTTCCGCTGGTAAGTGCCGTCGTGCTCAAGCGGGGATCGGTAAGCAGCTGAGAAGGCGTTGCGTAGAAGGAGCGGGTGAAAGGTATGAGCGGTGCTAGCGGGGTGTTGTTGAGTGCGTTGAAGAACGCTTTCCTCTCTACAGAGTTGAAAGCGTTTTCAATGTCGAGTTGGAGGACTAGGCTGGAAGGTTGTGAAGTGGTGAGGTCTCTGACTGCATGTATAACGAACTCAGCTCCGCCTGGTACTGCCACACCAAATTGTTGGGGTAAGAAAAATCGCCTTGTTTCTCCTTGCAGTTCCGAGAGTGCCACCTTTGCTGCCAACCAGAGTAGGGATTCCCCTATTGCGATAGGGCGTACCCCCCCCCCTGGTTTCGCGAAGGCGATGAGGCGGGATGGCGAGAGTAGTGCTGCAACCTCGGTGGAAAGATTCGTGGAGAGAAGATGTGTTACGGCGGAGTGTAGGTGCCCCAGCATTCGATGCTGCTTAGGGCTGGGTCGCGGTAGTGTTCAAATGTTGACCAGATGGACCAGCCCCAACTCCGCTGGGGCAATCCCCAAGGACGTCTGAGAAACTTTCCGCGGTGCACGAAAATTGCGTGGGTGTTGTGTAGGTGTGGACCCAGTCGGGCAGCTCAACTTGGGGTTGGGGATGTTTCAATTCCAACTGCTGCAATGTTGCGATCGTCGCAGGGGCCGCTGGCGAGGGTGAAAGGGCTGCCAACGCTTTTCGCAGGTTACCTCGTTTCACCAGCCCCTCCACACGTGAGCAGATTCCCAGGGGGTCGTTTTGGTGCTGAGGTGGCTTAGCTTGGTGCAGGGACCCCACGTAGTCACTGTAGAGCTGGTTCCAGTGGCCACATCTGAATAGGTGCATCTGCTCTCGCAGCACCTTCCACTTAGAGCTGGACCTCCTGCTAAGTCGTAAGGTGAGACGTGGCAGGAACATGAGGACCCGCCACGCTCCCGCGCAGTTGGGCAGTTTGGAGATCCGTAAGAGGGCGGCCAGCATACAGGTGGAGTAGTCGCTTAGTATTTGCGGCGGCAGGCGGCGGAGGATAGGCAGGTGGGTGGTTGACGTTAGGGTTGATGAGTCCCAGCTGTTCGCGATCTCAAAGAGATCCTCCCTCGATGCCAGCTGGGACGCTGACAGGGCTTGGTCTGGAGGGGGTTGGGGTCTGCGGTTCTGTCGGCGTCTAGGATCCCTCTCCTGCTGCTGCGCCGGGTCCTCCCCTGCTTCCGCGAGAGGTGAGTTGGGGTTGTCGGGTTGTCGGGTTGCCTCAGATCCCTCTCGAACGGTCCTTGGTATTAATGTCAGCAAGGTACACACATGGTAAGGCTACAGCAGTCTCGCAGCAAGGCTACAGCAAAACAACAGCTAACCTTGCACTACCCCAGCCCCAGCCCCCCCCTCCCCGCCCGGCCCTAATGGCCGGAGGGGTCTTCTATCAACTGATACAGCTGCCCCTCGCTCATTGGAGTAAACGGGCCCTGCAGGCCGAGCACATCCGCTGTGAGGGCCTCATGGGTCTTATCCCTGAGGGCAGTGGCTTGCGCTCTCTGCAGGGTCACACTCCACCGCTGCCGGTACTCGGTGAGTAGCCTGGCGCATTCCCTCGACTTGGGAGTGGCGTTGAACCGCCGCCTGGCCGCTAACTCCGCGCAGCTGCGAAGGAATTCCAGGACTCCCCTCGAGGGGTAACCGTAGGTCTCAACCGCGAGGGCGTAAAAGCCCACCCAAGCGCTCCGCCTGGCGTATTTGCTTGCCTTCTTGTCCGCCTGCATTCTAGCAGCCCAACCGGGAGCTTTACGGGCGTATTCATCCTGGAGGGAGATGGGGTCCGTGACCGTGATGTCACAGATCCACACCTCACCGGTGTCGGGATGGCGGATAGAGATATCCGCTTTGAGGTTTTCGACCGGTGAGTAAGCCGTTGTCTCCTTATGCACGGTGAAGCCCGCTTCCGCAGCTATCTTTGCGCACTCGTCCCGAAGGGCATTGTGAGTTGCAATTCTCCCCCCCCCTTTCTCGCACCGCATCAAATGGTTCGGTAGACGGTCGTCAGGGAATGTGGTGCGGTATCTACAGTCACAGCGCCTTGGCACAGGTAGGGGCAGGCCTAGGCGGAAGGAGGCCGCTGTGGAGAACTGAGAGGGCCCGAGGCGGAGGGAGGAGATCAGCGGGACGG